CCCCCCCCCCCCCCCCCCCCCGCCGGGGCATGCACACACACACAACACAATCAAATCCAGGAGCCATCTCAGCCTGCATACTTTAACAGCCTATTTCCCTATGTAATTTCCTGCCTGGTTCATTTCCTCAACAGCCCCCAGAAAGAAATCAGGAAAAAGAAAACGAAATTGTAGAGAAATTATACAGCAGAAAGGTCACACGGTTTGTCCTTCAGTTACCCAACCAAAGTCCAAATACAGTCACTCCCATCTCAATATGACTATTCAAACAAACAGCCCTCTTGCAAATAAGTACCAAAAACATTACATGAGTAGTAAGATCTTGGTTTTCTTTCCTCAAAATAAAACCATGTTGTCCTTCCACCTATTGGCCATGACATCACTCTGAACCAAAAATCTAAAGAGAAAAATGTTTAAGGCAAATATAACATTGATTTGAGATGGAAATTTCATTTTTTATTATTCATTGTTAGCAATGCATCTGACTCTGAATATAAAAAATTAGAATACAATAAAGAATATAGGAATTAAGAGAATGACAACATTTCTTCACGTATCCAATCAATCTAATGTACACGCCACCTTCTCTCGAAGTCATCAAGCATAAAAAATCCAATTTGAACACCTATGAAACACATTGATAAGGTAAAACTTATCATGCCTGAAGTACAGTCCTGCACCAGTTAGCTTCAACTATAACTGTACCTTCTCAAAAGTATCCCACATATCTTCTATAAATCCCACTCTCTACTGATACACCAAGCGAATTAGTTATTCAGCTTAAAAATGCTGAGCAGCATCAGTATACTTCCTACATTTACACTGATGCAACTTCCAATAACTTTAACCAAAAATCTGTACCTTGGGCTATTTTCTGTATTATTTATCATGGCACTAAAAACATTACCATATAAGGTTAACGGGGCCAATGCTCAACTTCTTTGGCGGAGTTTTTCATAGCCCATCAGGTTTTAGAAGCTTGTTTGGTCGTTTTAAAACAATGTAATCCTAAAACTAAAAGTGAAAAAATATTGTGATTAGAGAAGAAGCAAGCATCCACTGCCCATCTGTGCCCTAACCAATTTTATGTTTCTAGCTGCATATTATCCTTTCAACTTTGCTAAATATTTTATTAAGGATATTTTTAGACAACTTGTGCTTTATATGATTATAATATTGTATATTACAATTTTTTTTTAATTATATTATCCTTTCATGTTGAGACTTACACCTTGAGGCTGACACTTACCCTTGCGGAAGCAAAATTCCTCAATACTCGTTTTAGCATTTCTAAACATTGATTGGCAATATCAATGTTAGCAACAAATATCTTAGTAAGAAGAATGTCATATGTGTAGATTAAAAATCCAAACCATAATTTTTGTAGGTCAGTCCAGACATTACATGAAAATCTCCACATAGACCTTGAAGAATCGAAAGGAAGAAAGGTGGATGGTCGACATATATTGCCAACAAACTTATTGTCATTAAGCATGAAAGCAGGAAGGATTATCCAATCCCCCACCTGGTTCCACCACAATCCAGAAAAACAAAAACCTAACCTGGACAGAGCATGAGGCTTGGTATAAGCCAATCATGGAAAACTATAAGCTGAACCATAAAATGGGAAAAATATGTTCAACTAGATGACCAAAATTCTTCTATTTTTCTCAGAGAGAAGAGAGTGCCATTCTGAGAAATAATCATTTCTTACCCATTTCCATTATGACCATTAGATGATTCAATTCCTAAATGGAAAAACGTGATGTCACCCATCTTAGCATCTTTAGCCTCTAGGATGGCAATGATCTAGCATTGTTTTTGCATTCGTATTAGTTTGCATCACCAGCTTTACCATATGCGGCAAGAAAAAAAATTTGTTCGGATAATCATTGTAATATATTTAATCACGAGAAATGAAAACTGTTCACAGGTCCAACTCACCCTGTTTCAGCAACCGGTTACAATGTGAGAGCACAGAAATAAATGGACTGAGTTTGTTACGTTCTGCCAGCAATTCGGTGAGATACCTGTCAAATTTCAATGGCATAGCATCTCCAGCTCATTAGTAATGATGACAAACACGAGCAATCAAATATAAGGGAATGGAGAACTAGAGAAAATTGATTTCCATCGCCTTTTTCCACTCACCAAAATAAAAATTAAGAGTTGAACAACAGTTCCATGATACATTTGATCATCTTAAGAAATGAAAGAAAATGACTCCTTTGAAAAACATGAAAAGTTTTTATTCAATTTTTTATACAAGTTAACTGACTCGAGTCCAGGATTCAAACGGAGTTCGTGGAGGAGGCGAGGAGCCCATCTTTCGTTCATGATCCATGTAGGAACCACAACATATAAATTTACAGAGACTAGAATCGTCTCTTAGTAATCAAACATCTGTTAAAACAAATTTCAAGAATTACAAATTGCCATAAGCTTTGACTAAAATATAATTCCTATAGCATTTTTTCTTTTTGGGAATTTAAGGGTTCCTTGACGACAGATCAAAGAGAAAAATTTAACTAGCATATAGTCATTTAATTTTTTTTTTTAAAAAATACTCATACAAGAAAGCACAAGAACCACGTATCTTCAACCATAACGTGCGACTAGGCTAACGCAGATGCTTAATCTGTACAATTTCACAAGGTTCAGACAAAAAATTACCAAGATCAAGTTATCCCGATAGAACTGCAACTACAATTTTTTAGAACAAAAAAATCACACAATAATATTCAAACGAGATTCTGTAAAAACAAATAAATCACTAAAGTCAAGATCCCGAGCTGAATTCCACTAAAAATTCACAAAATCAATTCTGAACAATCCACTTGACTAAAAACAGTTGGAATTCCGAAGATCTAATCTTGATTTCATATAAATACACGAGTACAGATACAATAGGCAATAATAAGAAATAAAGAGAATGAAGCTATACTTTTCTTGCTCGACGAGTGCGGCGGCAGCAGATGAGGCAGAGCGAAGGCCAGCAGCGCCGATGTGAGGAGAGTGAGGGGCAGAAGGAGACGGTGAGTATGCCATGTACCTGCCGGACGACATTTCTCCGGCACCACCTTCAGATCCACCTACCTCCTTCTCTTTCTCTGTTGTTGAGCTAGAAGTAGAAGTAGAAGCAGAAGTCTCTAACGAAAATTGGTACTGTTACAGGCGGTGAGTCGGTGGAGAAACCACAAAACCTAAGAGGAAAAGGTGGGGAACAAAAATGAAAAATGTTGAAAGTTCTAGGTGTGTATTTATTTATTGAAATGATGAAAGCGAGGGAGGAAGGTCCCATCGTCCACATGATACACGGTAACTAGTCTTTTTCGTTGCTTCTGAATAAATCGAAATTTATAAATTATTTATAAATGATCGGAATAAATCGATCACCTCGTCCGAAATTTGAAAATTCCATCGAAGTCAAATTTCGCTTACGAGTCATCCCGTTAGCTATCCGAGTGAATCCCAATCGGAGAGAAGGGTACTCTACTTATTTCATATTGTCTTTTTTGTTGCTTCTCGAGAGATTGTATTTATATATTTTTGACAATTTTTTTATAAATTATTTATAAATGATCATAAGGGATTTATAAGAATCGATTGTCTTGTCCGGGTTTTGGAAGCTTCATTGAAGTCGAATTCCAATTTAGAGTTATCGTGTTCGCTATTCAAGTGAATTTCGGAATGATAGAAGGGGCAGTACTTATTTTTTTGAATAAAGCTGAACAAACAGGGTTAAAGACATGAGTTTTTTCGGGGAATGAAGTGGTAGGTGTTCATTGATAATTTTTTTTAAGTTTCTTTTAACTGTCAATGGAAAAATGTCAATTGTATTTGTTTTTAAATTTCTATCTGTTCTTGTATCATAATCCTATTTCGCTTATAAATTCTTTCTAGATGGAGGCTACATATTCATCGATTTTGTTGACTTTCGATTTTTTTTATTGAATCAAGTATTCCAACTAGCATTCACCTACATAATCAGGCGGTGGTTGGGATGAGTTTTTTATTTTATTTTTCATGAAGGCACATTTTCTTCCATGTATTTCGGAGTCTGATTGCAATTGTTAAAATTATTAAAGAAATAAACTATTATGGAGTGCATTGATTTTCGAAGGGGCCATCAATTGTACTTTAACAATCATTTAGGCCCTGTTTCACAGGGAAGATTTTCCATGAAGATGGAAATTATTTAGCAATTTTTCATTTTTTAACCTTTTTGATAGGAAAATTTTTTCAGACAATTGATTTTCTCACTTTCTCGCATGACCCCCAATTCCACAAATTCAAATTCCCAACTCTGAGCTGGTTTTTTGTTTTCATGGGAAATTGACAATTGAAACAAGGCAGGTGCACACCATCAAGAAACGGAGCCACTTTACCTCATGGAGTGAGCACCTTCTACTCCAAAATTCAACCACTATACCACCAAACAAATGCCGGATTTTCACACCATCAACATCTCCTCATCCCCACTCTTCACTTCCGTACCAAAAATCGAACATAAAAGTTCCAGAATCGCCGAAAGTTCAGGCTCAAAATGACGCCTTCACGCATGGTTTCAACACCAATTCCGGCCAACCGTCCAACACCTACGGCCATACTCCATTACAGGCCCCTAATACTCATCAAGGTGAGCAGTTTCATGGTCCCATATCATCAAGAAACGATTTATAACAGATTGCATCTCTTACCAGTTCGAATGCAGCGAATCGCGCACAGTGCATCCCAAATTCTGGTGCCGGCGTTGAGAATCGTGGTCGCACACCACCACCATTACCTTCTACTCATTATGGTAGACGACATACATATATAGGTTTTCGTCAATTTAGCTCGACTTCAAAAAAAAACTATTGAATTGCAGAATTTTTTTTTTGCCAAGAAACCATTTTAGATGAAAGCCAAGAAACTCGGCTGCGGATGTATAAGTGGAAGAGGAGGCTGGATCGTGATTTTTGCATTGCAGATCGTGATCTTCAGGATTGTTAATGCACATGGTTGAACTGAACTTGAAATGGAAATGGATTCAGTCATGGTGCATAAAATGAAAATGGGAGGATGATGTTTTTATTTTGGGGTTATTTTATTTTATTTTTATTCCAAGTGGACAAATTAATGGTATAAATGTGCCACATCAGCTTTCCATAGCACGCGTGGAGTTTTCCATCAATTTTGGGTCGAAAGTATGCATTGGAATTTGTGCCACAAAATACAATATCCATGGAAAACAAAGTCAAATAAACACCAAAAGATGGAAATTTTTAATATTTTTCAAGTGGAAAATTATATCAATCAAACACAATTAATTGAAAATTTTCAGTAAAACAAGTTCTAGGTAATTCAATTCCCTGAATTTCATTTTCTTTCTACCCAAATTTCATTCTTGCAATCAAACAGATACGCATTGATATTTTATCTCTGAGTTAGAATTTTCATTTTTTAACTGACCGTTTTCATTATATAGACATTGACAGCTCTCAATGATGTATTTCTTGTTATCTGCTTCCAGCAAATATGTGACTATCTTTATTGTTTTCTCTACATATTGTAGGATGATGAATTAACGATATTGGATGTCCGCAAATTCAAGGCCTTGCATAAACGCAAGTTCAACTATGAGGTAATTCCTGTTCAGACTAATGCTTGTGCACTCTCAATTATTTAGTAAGTGGAAAAGTATAGTAAAATTATATCAAATACGATACTGTCTCGATGTTTTTGTCTTTTCTGAATAAGTCCCTCCTTTCTATGACTATTGTTGTCCATCCTTGATGTGCATGGCTGAACTATCTTGTTTTCACATTTTATTTAGTTTTTACTCATTAACCTACTTCTACTTCAACTTCTTCCTCTGATACATCACCAGGTAAATGAGATCGCGTGGAATGTCACAAGAGAGATGTTCTTTCTGACTACTGGGAATGTTTAGAGCAAATTACTGAACATCAATCATATTCTGGCGATCCTGCAAAGGAGGTTCCAGTTTCGTTGGTTTGTGTCTATTATACTGTCTACATATTCTTGACAATGTGACTTTTCTGTCCCTTCGATCTCTTCCGCCTTAGGTATTGTGGAAGCACTAGCATATCCATCTCTTCAAGCGGTCGACACCCTCATGGCTCATACAGCTGGTTGCTATTGCATTGCAATTGACCCGCTGGGAAGGTTTGCGTCAGATCTATTAAATATGTTTTCTTATTCAAAATGTCAAAGACTGAGCGTCTAATAGATTCACAGTATAGATTATTCCCCTCCTATCATTGAATGTAAATTGTATTGAAGGGGATAATTTGTGCTAGTTGAATCTATTATGTGAGGTTGATAGAGACGTTAATGTTGTACAGATTCAATGATAATGGCGGAAAAGAAGAAGCCACCGAGGTGACACTGCCCTGAATGGTGAATAATGTGTTTATGCTACTCTCAAATGGATCTGTGTTATTGATAGTATTCCATTTTTACTCTTTTCCCCCACTTTAACCCCCTTGATTGTTATGCCATATTTCTGTATGCTTGTGGAATCTTTGCTTCTATTTGGTGTCAAGAGTTTGATCCCATGCCATATTATTAATTTAAAAACATGCATTTTTCGCTGAATATTGTTTGGGTTTTGCCTTTAGTGAATTTATTGAATTATATAAATTTCGTTGATGTTGGAATGTGCAAAACAATTTAAACAAAGTACCTTGAGTTTATTTGAGTTTCCACTTAGTAGTTTTAGTAGATTTTTTGATTTGTGATTATCTTTTGCATTGGTTAGTAAGTGGTGATAAAAAATTTAAACATGTGCAAGACAATAAGCCTCATAGTGTATGCTGGTAACATTGGAGAGACATTCACTTGGCGAAATTCAGAAAATTGAAGAATCGACTTACAAATTTTTTTCGAAATTGGAGACCTTGGAAAAATACTTTCCTTGGAAATTGGAGATTCTTTTTGGGCTTCTAAATTCATGTTGTTCCATGTCATTTTTATCTCTAGTGCGAGAGATTTCTGTATTGCAATTGTACAATTCAAATGTCTTTTTTTTTTTTTTTATAACCGTGGATGTTCGAGTCAACTTGCACGCACCTCTATAATGGCGGAAAAGAAGAAGCCACTGAGGTGACACTGCCCTGAATGGTGAATAATGTGTTTATGCTACTCTCAAATGGATCTGTGTTATTGATCTGTAAGTATTCCATTTTTACTCTTTTCCCCCACTTTAACCCCCTTGATTGTTATGCCATATTTCTGTATGCTTGTGGAATCTTTGCTTCTATTTGGTGTCAAGAGTTTGATCCCATGCCATATTATTTATTTAAAAACATGCATTTTTCGCTGAATATTGTTTGGGTTTTGCCTTTAGCGAATTTATTGAATTATATAAATTTCGTTGATGTTGGAATGTGCAAAACAATTTAAACAAAGTACCTTGAGTTTATTTGAGTTTCCACTTAGTAGTTTTAGTAGATTTTTTAATTTGTGATTATCTTTTGCATTGGTTAGTAAGTGGTGATAAAAAATTTAAACATGTGTAAGACAATAAGCCTCATAGTGTATGCTGGTAACATTGGAGAGACATTCACTTAGCGAAATTCAGAAAATTGAAGAATCGACTTACAATTTTTTTTCGAAATTGGAGACCTTGGAAAAATACTTTCCTTGGAAATTGGATATTCTTTTTGGGCTTCTAAATTCATGTTGTTCCATGTCATTTTTATCTCTAGTGCGGCAGATTTCTGTATTGCAATTGTACAATTCAATTGTCTTTTTTTTTTTATATAACCGTGGATGTTCGAATCAGCTTTCGCGCATCTCGACTAGTCCTACGGGGCCTTGAAATTTATGGCGGGTACTCACCTCAGTGGTCCTGAGGGGACTCGAACTGGTGACCACTGGGGATCAAACCCAAGGCCTGACCAATTGAGCAACCTCTCAAGGCTACAATTCAAAGGTCTTCAGTTTATTTATTTACTTTTTTTTTTTGTAAGGAAAGTATGTACTCAAAGTAATTAGTACATAAAACTGATTTCATTTTCAGTTGTTTGTTTGCGTTAATCTCAGCATTAGCAGCTTATTAGGTCACCGACAAAGTCATGGGAATCAACACTGTGTCGATTATTGCAAAGAACGTAGACACGGTACTGAAGATTCTGCTTGTAGGCTTAAACTTGTCGATCGGTCCATGACTTCATTTAAGCTTATTTGATTGCATCAAATAATGTCTTTAATGTTCAATGGTTTTGATACCCTGCTGCTTTTTGCTTGTCCCAATAGGGGTTTGTTGTTTTGGTCTCACAACCATTTGCTAATATATGCTTTACTTCCTATCAAGACTGTGAAATACATAACAAGTAAGACAAGGAGAGTGAAAGATATTATTGGAATACTATATATTATCTTCCTATCAAGGTAATTCATCAGTGAGTTGTATATACACTTCTTTTCTCATCTCCATGGTCCTCTATTTTCTTGAACAAGAAATATGCTCTAGCCTGTGTAAATGGTTGGTAAGATGGATGGGACGGCATTGGATAGTATTAAGAGAAAAAGAAGTTTAAATCTTGTTTATTTAATCTCTGTTCCTGTCTAGTACCAAATATGTAATTCTTGTAAAATTTCTAGTCCACGGGATTGATCAAATCATCTGATGGTATATCCCACAAAACACATTCTGAATTGAAAATGATGGATCCACCTTGTGTTTCTTTTCTACTCCCAGAGTCTTCACTATTTTCACCCTCAAGTTTCTTGTGGCAGATTTGCTGGTCTCCTGCTGTGCATGTGCTTTCTGTACACATACTTTGGCTCCATGGAGATCCATTCCCTTCATTACCAAGCGACGTGATGCCATAATGAAATCCAGAATCTGATGCTTGTAAAGAACTGAACGTTCCTGAAAAATTTGTAGACATTGGCCCAGTGTAGTCCCACGGCTTGTTTATAGGTAGCATGTCAGGCCCTTTTATAGCCTTGGTCTTCTCAATTGTCTCATATTTATCCTCATGTTTAACGCAAGTGGTGTTCACAGGAGCTGCCGGGGAATATTGCTGCAGCTGGAGGTCGATACGTCTCTTGGTGAGGAGGTGGAGCATTTCATCCTTGAAACACCCAAGAGCGGCTTCAGCCAAATGCGGAACTTGTGGAGGTGAAAGTGTGGTGGCTATTTCATTTATAAGGTGGGAGAAGGGCTTGTGGGTAACTGGATCAATTCCCATCCCTGATAGCTTTTTCTTCAGCTTGGTGTTCCAGTGATTTTTAACATCATTGTCTGTGCGTCCTGGCAGCTGAGCAGCAATTACAGACCATCTGTTGCATACAATCATTTAAGCAATTAGCACTTGGAAATAATGAGTGAATATAAAAGTTTCCATTCAAGCTTTTGGGGAAGAGGATATATGTTCTGTTTCTGGGATTATTTCCAGATTCTCGTTTGAGAAATATCAAGAAAAACTGTTTTAACACTAATGTATGTTGGATACCGGTTTCCAAGAACTGAATGAAGAGTTACAATAGTCTGTTCTTCTGCCTCTGTGAATTGGCCATGTTTAAGGTCTGGACGGAGGTAGTTCGTCCATCGAAGTCTACAGCTTTTCCCACACCTCTGAAGACCTGACATAAATTAATGTGATGAATCAGCTCACGAGGTTATTGAAGAATTGTTGACATGTTTGATACACAGAGAACAGTTCTTAATATTGTCTAATGCAGTCAGTCGAGCAAACTGAGAACATGCCAACAATGTCATGATTGAATCTAATAATGGAAAGTATACAGGGTATGGAAAAGACCAGCATGCTTAGGAATGAGACGCCAGTTACGAGTCCCATGTTGAGCGATGTAGGACGAAAGCTTTTGATCTTCTTCTGGAGTCCATTGACCCCTCTTCACATTGTCCTTCTCGCAGCATGGAATTCGACCCATTCTATGGAATTATATAACTCAGCAGAGGAGACAGATGGTTCCAATGGAAAGTTGAGTTACAGTTGACGGATAGTTTATGCTAAAAAATGGAAGAAAAACTATAAATGGTAAAAGGAACTCGATACAAGTAACAGAATACAGAATTATATATGAAGATCCTGCAAAATGTGTGAACATAGGTGTTTATTGTACGATAATACAAGAATTGTTATATAGGAGATGGTAAGAAAATTGCAGTTGCAGAGGTGTGGCATTGGCATCAAAGGTGCATGATTTCATTAAAGAATTCAACGCCGTTCACCGTGTGAAGACATGGGCAGGTAGCTCACCCACAAGACGCCTGGTCAACTCTCTCTTTCTCTCTCTATCTCTTCTTGTATCTCTATATTTCTCTATGTGGTTTACTGCTGCAAGTTGGTGAATTATTGAGTTGATCGTACAAAACATTGCAACACTTTTAATATTTTAGCAAAAAATGAGGTTTGTGAATTTGTCATGGAAAAATTGCATTCTGCGATTTGCAATTTGTGGGATTTAAAGAAATCTATATCATTTACATTACAAAGGTTCCCCACATCTCCAAGAATGGAAGGTCTTCATTTGTAAGAATTTCAAAGAATTCCATGTGCATTAGCCCCTATTTGGTTTAGATAACAATTAATTTTTTAATAGATTTTGATAAAGAATACTGTTATTTAATCGTGTGATTATAATACTTGTCTATGTGACGGTAGCTAATAGCCTAAATCAAAGGTGGTTTGATTCTACTTATCATTTAATGTCACATAGATTGAGGTTATAATGGCTAAATAGCATTACTCTTTAATAAAAGTTGTGAATCCCATGAAATGTGGGGTTGAAAATGAGTTTGTCAAAAAATGAGTATGAGAAAATGAAGGCCAAACAAGGTCTAAGACAGGAATTAATATATTGTTTTTTTGTTTATACTACATTAACACCCTTACAAGTTACAGAAGAGTACCAAGTATTAGGCTTGTGTGGTTTGTTTGGTTGTACTTAAAAAATTGTTTGTAAAAAACGTTTCATAAAGTAAATATTTCTCATTACTTGCCTCTCAACCCTTTGAAAAATAGTGGTTTATTCATGCTCAATACCCAGATAAACCAATAACTACACGGCCACAGCCGCAAGCTACAAACTATTTCTCTTCTCGATTTAATGAACTACATGGATAAAACACTGATGAAAACACCAGAGACTCCATTTTATTGTGCGACACTAAGTGCATAGATTTCTAACTACAGCTACTTGTTTGAATCCTCGTGCAAAGCTAAATGAATTTTCTCTGCGAGGAATTAGAATACTAAATGCTACTGGCGAAAACAATGCTTTCACAGTTCAACACAAACGTTCCAAAGGTATAACTCTTTCTCTGGAATGCTCAGAGAAAGGGTGACGAATCCAGAGGCTTCTTCATATTCAAATTTCAGTTCCTCAGCGTCCACTGTTATTCTCTTGGGTCGAACTGATGAATAGGCTCCGAATAGACCACATCCACGAACTTTCAGACAGACAGTTCCAGTCTTGTCCTTTTCACAGTTTAGTTCCTTAATTGCTCCTCCAGAGTTGAACATTTTGATGAGTCCTATGGGGGCAAACTTGGTTCTGTTGGACATTTCCTTGACAGGAATGACTGTAAAGACATCGTACTCTCGTGCCTTCATTGTCACTGGCAGAGAAGTGTTTTTCGGAAGATAAACCAAGTCTCCTGCAATGGAAAAGAGAGACCAGTTGCACATTATACAACAGAAAAAATATAGGGTCGAACACATGAATCCTTTTGGGTTACGCCATCTGGTTCACTACTAGATTTCTAGCAACTATAAGAGATCATAGTTTTTCCAGCCTCCCTCTTTTGACTTATTCTACCAAGGTTGCGGGAGCATTTTAGATGTGTGCAAAACATGACCCACTACCTAAGCCCCCGCTTGAATCTCATTAAAACGAGATTTTATTGAGGTTTCTCATTACACAACAGTAAAATAATTGTTAAAAAATTGAGGTGCACATGAGTACTATTAAACACTTTAATTTTGGGGTGAGAAAAACACATTTCATTGTTGATTTTTGTAAAAATTAAGTGCATGACAGTACTTTTGTGCACCTCAATTTTTTAACAATTATTTTACAGTTGTGTAATGAAAAACCTCATTAACGAGATTCAAGCAGGTGAAATCTTCACTCCGTCCTCAATGACACCATCTTTACTTGTTGTCATTATCTCATTTTTTATGTTATTCGTCCATCTTAACATTCTTATTTGTGATCTTTTAACAACCCAACTTGGACACTAAGAACATAAAGCATAGCAAGTCAATTCGATATTTTATAGAATTTTACCCTTTAATCCTATATCAGTTATAAGTTATGAAGCTGTAGAAATTACCACGAAGATGAGAATAAACAACGACATCTCCATTCCACCCCTCATCAGCAATTCTAGGCAAGTAATCGACGTCTTTAGCTCGAAGAATTCCAGTTACAGTGCCAGGTTGCTCGTCGTGGATGAGATTTGTCTTTCCAACTCTGCACCAACCTGCTCCTTGGCAATTGAACACCCCCACAACTCCATTGAAATCATTTAGATTCCAAATTTTTAACAAACTGAAATGAAAATACAAGTTGTTATTCAAACAGAAGAAACTTCAAGAATTGTTAAGATATGGAATTCGTTAAAATTCATTGAAGGACCTTTTTCCATCTCTGGCAGGATCTGAAAACAAGCAATCCCTTGTGGGTCTTCCAGGGAATTTGGCCCTCAATATGGAACCGTCGGGAAGTACAAGCTTTCGGAGAAGATTAAAGTCGTGCTGCCCAGGCTTATCACTGCACGTAATTGATGTCCAATGTGAGAAAAAAGTAACTTGTCCTGAAACAGATATCGTCATATAACCGCACATAATTTTGTTTCGTTTCTAATAAGTTAAGCTTTCAGAGAGAGAGAGAGTTCAACGATATTCATGGCACCTGACATAAATAGCACAGCCTCCCACAGAACGTGCGGCTCCATGGTATTCTGCCATTGGATGTAAACTCTGCGGTGTAAATAACAAATTAGTATCACAATATATCGATTTCTCAAGACTAAGGCCACGGACAGTTGATCAAGTCATCAGCTTACATGAAACATATCCCAATCCGGCTGCATAAACTCCCCTAAGAAAACAGTGTTGTAAGCAACTGATGCAATGTGGATCGTGTGCGATGCTGGATCTTTCGGCCAGAAATCATCTGATGCTCTAATAACAGCCGTTCGCTTTGCACTGCAAATCCAACATGAAATTTTATCAATAATTTAATTGTTTAGCTAAGAAATATGAGAAATAAATTCAAATGTAAAGAGAGAAACTGATGATTACCTATACAAACCATCTGTGTTATGACTCATGCAAGAAATGATACCATTATCAGGGAAATTCCTCGAAATCGAGGCCTCTAATGCTTGGTGGTACTTCTGAGCAAGCTTTACTCTTCCGCCATGGCCCGCCCCAAGGGTTTCAAGAATGTTCTGGACATCTACTTTCACCCCATCGATACCAGAAGATGCAAGGTATGAGTGCAATTCATTATAGAAGTTAAAGACTTTCTCAGGGTTCACAAGACCAAGCCCATTCTTGGTGATGCTATTCAATGCCTCACAAGGTTCGTTTGACTGCACGCCAGGAGAGGAGATGGGGTAAGCCAGCTTAGAGTCGTAATGTTCTACTCCATCACCACCAGGTCGGACTCCACCCCAGTACCCCGCTAATGCATGCCAGACATAAACATACTTCACGGAATGTTCATCTTTAATTTCATTAACAATATGCTGAATTCCCATTGCTGGATCCTCCACCCTGTGACCCTCTTGGCCATCCTTCTGAAATTTATGGTTCTCTTTGATATTAGTTAATCTGTTTGCAAAGCTGGATAAGGAAAGGAGGGATGGAAACTGTTAGCCAGGAAGAGGATGGCAAGAAATCCAAATAAAATTTTCAGTTCTTCGACTCACTTGGCTGTGTTATCAGCTTTCGATGCTATACTAACTGGATCCATACTAACAGATTGCCATCCATCATCGATGATGACAAACTTCGGGGGAATTCCTCCTTGCTCGAAACTACAATAAGATATCACTGGTTAGTATCCCTTGGCCAAAAAATCCTGTCAACCACTCCATGTAGTGGTGTCAATCGGCCCAGACCTCCACATTTCTCTGTGGCACGTCTTGGACACTTGGGACAGGCTAAAAATGTGGCCAATCCCAATTTGACACCATTGATTCCACGTGAAGTGTGTGTTACCTTTGCAAACCCTGCTTCACTCCTTCCGAAGTGACATCAGTATAGAAAGCATCCCACGTACACCATCCGAACCAATTCAGTAAGTCTGGCATCTGAACCATGACCAAAAACCAGGTTTAGAAATGCAGTATTAATGCACTCTTTCAAAACAAATTGGAGCAAATGGAGAAAACTTCAGCAATAATTCTTCTACCTTTTTCCTATCCCGATGACTAAATGTCTGCAAATGTCTTTCCACCGACCTGCGTAAAAGTAAATATGTTCTCAATCATCTTTAAAAGTACTAATAATATTTTTTTTATTAGTGTAAAAACAACCCAAACCTCGAGGGCATAATGTTTTGTTGCTCGATTAGATAGGACTTGGCACGACTAAGGAATAGAAATGTGTGACATTAAATTATAATAATCGTGTTCAATCCACAAACACATACTATAAGGCCTTGTTTGATAGAGTTTAACTTTCATGGAAGTTGGAAATTATTTTCAATTTTCCAAGATATTGCATGTTTGATTGGCCAAAAATTCCATGGAATTGGTTTTCCACCCAAAGCCTCATGTGACCCAATTTTCTTGCTTTTCATTGAATTGGTGTTCCCACCACTTTGGTGGGAAAATGGTTTTCCAGTTTCTTTTTTTACAATGGAAACAAATTCTATCCCCAATTTTAACAAATTATATCTCTTTAATGGACAATTTCCATGTAAAACAAAGTCAAACGAACACCAAAAGATTCAAAATTTCAATATTTTTCACATGAAAAATTATACCAATCAAACACAATTAATTGACAATTCTCAGGATAACAATTCTAGACAATTCAATTCCCTAAAATTCATTTTCTTTCCATCCAAAATCCACTCTTGCAAACAAACGGACCCTAAAAGAACTTACTTGACTGCAATCGTGATGACATCAAATGGGTCGGATCCAGCTGCGACGAAAACTAGATGACTCCCCTCAAATTCTTGAACAGCAGGATCTCCTGCATCCAAACCACATTATTAAAATTCCCAAAACAGACCGATTGACAAGGAGATAACAAAATATGTCAAAATGATCCTTAAATGAACATTCGTGCTACCACTTTCCAAGCAAATCTCCAACTCATTATTGGCATTCCCCTGAAGAACAGCCCTGAAATCTCCCTCCAATATCGGCAAAAAAACGACGTATAACGCTGATTTGTCCTCCCCATCTTCCCCAAAATGTGAACCATCTTGTCCTTCCACAATCAAAAATTGGGTTTCAAAAGGTATGTCTTTGCCACTTGTACCCATCCTCTGTGTCATCCACCACAACTTGAACCGGAAAACACACATAAAACGCAGTCCCCTGGAAATCAAAATCAGTCAGTATGGATAAAATTTCAAGTGGTTGACTCCAAGTTTTTGTGGACGTTGTAGTATAAGATCAAGCATACAACATCACAAGAATCCACAAATTCAAATCAACTCATAAAATTCGAAGCCATTGACTGTTGAAAATCACAAAATAAACTAGACAGAAAGAGTACTTACTCGAGTTTTCCGACAGGGAAGACCCTACGGCTACCAATCTGATCGGATTGAACGCCGATAAAAGCTCCATTAGTCAAAATTTCACCGGTAGCTGGAGTTACTATAACATTATCATCAACATTTGTCAAAATGGTGTTTCCCAGCACATTCAACCTCCCATCAACCACGGATATTCCAGACCCCACAGTCATTTTTTCAGCAGAAATATATTACACGGAGAAAAATCACAATAAACAAGAAGAACGAGCTCGTAATAAACAGAGCCCAATGCAGAAATGGTGTGCATATTACCAGTATTTATAGTTAACAAATGCAGAGTGCATGTGCATACGAGGCTGCTGTGCCAATACATTTTACATCGGAGTCCGTGAAGCCCCATTATCACACTCAATTATGCTATTTGTACAAAGGTGGTTTACAGAAGTGTGTTGACAAAATGAGTATTGGATTTTTCTACCAAGTTGAATTTCTCATTGTTTGACACACAACAAAACAAACACTTGAAAAATATTCTCTTATCATTTCATATTATCTTTCTGGCAACTAATAAGGGCTTGCTCTATCTTTTCATGTGATCATGCTCATAGAAGGAGAACCCGTTGCGAGCTATAAATGTTTTATCTTGGAGATATGCAGTGCCGAAAGTATCCACACACGAAGGGGAGACCACACGACTTTAAAACGGCTTTCATGGCAACTCTCTTAGGCCTGCTTTTCTAACTCTAATCTCATATTTATATTATTTGATTTATACTTGTAGTTGATAATTTATTACACAAATCACATAATTTTTACAATAGTAGGTTCGACCACTTAAGTCTACTTTAGACTTACGTAAGTGCAATGGGGATTGGATCATTGCCCAATGATATTGTAGAAGGTAATAAATAAACAATATATTTAAAAGGTATTTGGTGGGGATTAAGATTAATTTTTAGTGGATTGTGATAGAATTTTTTGAAATGTGTAGTTAAAAAATTGTGGAACACATGATAGATGTGATTAATATTGATTGTTTGACTTTGATTTAAATTAAAATTTAATTTTAATCTGAAACAAACAGGACCTTAGTATCTAACAATAAAAATAAATTCGAGCAGTAGCATGCTGAAGACAAACAATAAATATTATACGTAACAGTTCATGATTTTGAATTTCTAAATTTCGGGATCCCTTCAAAGGAGGCTCAAATCCAAGTCAATGACAGTAAAACTTCACTTGTACTACTTACGTTGGGAAAATGGTTCTATATGTACAAGTGGTAGAATTGTCCACTTAAATCAGGGTATTTCAATCCTTGAGCCATTCTAATCATGCATCGGTGTCCGAGGTGAGGTGTGGTGGTAAGAGAGAAACAAAATAGTCGTGCGACGTCGAGGTGTTGCTATTCGAGCCTTTAGACGTTCGATGTGCTGTGATTTAAATGAACGGTCCAGTTATATATGCATACATGATCGTTTAGATGAGTGACTCAATGGAGGGGGTCCACATAGCAATTTTTTTCAAAAAGTGCCGAATCCACGTGCGTAAATTTGCTGGATCAACGGTCCTGATCATTGTTGGATAAATTATTGGGAGCATTGGATTTCTGACTTTTCTCTGTTGCGTGAATTAGATTTATGTGGCTTTTTGAAGCAGATTCAAAGTGGAATCAGATTTGCATCAGAAAGTGAATAAAAGGGTCACGGGCAACCATTTATCCAATAATAAAGGGCTGTCAGACTTTTCTAGTTTGATGAAAATCACATGTTCTCTTCTCTGTCTTATTTCACGTGTATGTAGGGTTCGATTGGTCGCCTCGCTTTTTAAAACCGATTTTCAAATCTTTGTATTTGTATTCATTTTGAGTTTTACAGCTTATATAGAAGTGGTTATTTAAAAAAAAAAAAATTTAAAAAGTGATTTTTTTCTTTTAAATTGTAAGGCTAAAAAGTACGAAAAAATTATAAAGAAACTTGAAAATTGATTTTTTTTGTTCAGAGCGCGCGGCTGAAAGTGAGTGCGGAGAAAAGTATCACTTTCGCACATGAATTTAATCAGATCGAATTGATCGTTTGAATTTAATCAGATCGAATTGATTGTTTGAAGTCTTGAATTTTATCTTAAAACATCAACTTTGTCAAGAGAAATAACTCAAGTCTTTATTTGTTGATTAATATTTTCATCTTTTTTCGCTATGAGATTCATCGTTGTAAAAAAATGGGGCTTAAGTAGGGAACATGTACTTGGCCAACGAAAGAGCTCAAACTTTGGTTGCATTAAAAATTAGAACAAAACTATATGTACATTGTTGGATGACAATGTATTTGACACTCTTTTTACGTGGCAAAAGTTTGTACAATGATGTGATGGTTGTGGTCAAAATAAATGATGTAAATATAACCGCACGAAAGATTGTAAACCTTAATATAACTCATGATACACATATAGCATGGTTTAAAAAATTATGAATATCCTTTTTTGTGCAAAAGAATAATGATTTTGTTATTTGTACATAAAAAATTGTATATTATGGATTACCTAGAGCTTGTCCGGTAACAATTTTTTAAACCAAAAAATCAATTTGTGTACCTTTTTTTCCACACCTTGGGCCCCACCATGAGACAACACGGTCAAACATTTCAGCTAAATAGTGCATACAGCGGTTTGAATTATGCTTAAAATTTTTACCAGAAACAGCCCTAATATGAAGTGAAGGGAAAAGATCAGATGAAAAAGTTGACTATATTTTAAACTGATAAATGATAAAATGTCATGTAATATTATATAATTCATTATATAAATCTTGATAAATCAAAGACACATTACTGTTGTCCCAGAAGTTGAGATATGCTGTCTCTCCCAGTCCCCTTGGCTAAACTTTAATGCGTGTGACATAAGTAGACCCATGACTCGAATTCACCAGATATCAAGATTCATCATTAATATAATTGGAAACCTCCGTGTTATTTGGATCACACACAATCGATAATAGTAAATTATTCACAAATTAAGGAAATTTAAAGAGAAAATATGATTCCAGGCCCTAGTTTTCAATTGCACCAACCAGACATCAACACTGCCATAAATATTGGGGGAAGGGAAATCTTGGTTTTATCGTTAAAATACACTGAAATTAAGCAGAGGATCCGAAAAATAATTTACTAGTTTTTGTCTGATGAAATGAAAAAGACAAGAAAACACATCACTAGGTGTGTGTTTGTCTCCCAGTATTGAAAAAGAAATTGAGTAATGAATAGTATTTTTTGGAGAATGTGTGGTCGAAATTTAAAATAACTTTATTGATTTGTGCGTGGAATATTTTATTGGGTGAATGTGTGATGAAGAATCTTACTGTAGCAAATAATATTTTGAAATAATGGGAGACAAACGGGGCCTGGTTACTCCGAACTCTATTTCATGCACCTGCATAGTCAATAATTTCTCTTATTTCCACTTCTGTCCTTGACCTAGCCCCTATTTGGTCTGGTTAAAAAATTAGAATTTTAGTAAATATTGATAAAAGTTTGTGAAATGTGTAGTTAAAAAGTTGATAAAAATTATGGATCTCATGAAATGTGTATTGAAAATTAATTTGAGGAAAAACGAGTTTTAGAAAATGGAAGTCAAACCTGCTTAGTCTATTGAATTAACAATTCTTATCAATCATGTACACTTGCATTTGAGTGATAATTTGCAATAAATAGATCGATGAATGGATTTTTTGAAATAAATTTTCTATGCATGTCGATAATTAAAAATATAGTTCTCCTAAACCAAATGTTACGCCCCCAGCATTTACCATACCTCGTGCGGCTATTCTCACCCCTACATTAGAGGTGCACAATATGGATTAGCAACCAAGTTGAAGAGGAAGAGGAGGACGACGAAGAGATGGTGGGATTTTTTCGTCGTGGCTGGAGAGGTGGCAGCCAATAGTAGAATCGTGGATAAAAATTTTAGGATCATGCTACACATACCTAATTTTTTTACTGAATCTTTTACCTACTACTCACTATGGGAATGTAGACCACATTGTCGGAATTTTTAAATACACGCGAGCCCTACGCATTATGTGAGAGAGGGTAATCCATTATGTACAAACAATTATGTACAAATTGATTAACCCAAAATTTGAAGGGTCATTTTGAAGGATTTGGGGCATTTTTCTAAATAGTAAACTGGCCTGTTAATGGGGTGAGTCGAATCAACCCAATAATATTTGGGCTCAACTTAATAGCCCAATTGAAATATTAAGCATATTGTCCAATCATTGTATTAATTGGGCTCAAATTAATAGCCCAATCTCAACGAGTAATGCAAAATTGGGCTCAAATTAATAGCTCAATCTCAACTAGAGTAATGTTTACTTGTCCATAATTATTTACATAATAATGTTTAGAGAGAGAGGAAGGAACAATATGAAAGAGAGACAAAGAGAAAAATGGATAGAAAGAAATCAAATAAATTTTAATATAATGCAATGTTATCAATCCGTACACCAATCTGTAAAATTATGTACAAGTAACATTACTCGTCTAAATTAAGATAAATTGTTCTCATGTCCACAGTGGACAGGATAAAACTACCTACTTGTTGATGTTGTAAGAGACCTTACTTATGATTCTATCCAAATGTAAGAACCGTAAGTAAGGCTCTTTCAAGTGGACAAAATATTTTCACTATATGCAGGAGAATATTTCTGCTGAATTAAGTTCATAGTTAGACCAACTATACAATGTATACGCAAATTTCAACGGGAATTCAATATTTTGGGTTAACATGACTGATGATTATAATGTAGGTCGAGCTCGAGCTCGAGCTCGGGACCCGAGGAGTATCTTTCCAATTGGGCTTCAACGCCTCGTGACCTCCTCGACCATATCTCCTCGAGATTGTTTGTTCTTCACCACTAGGTCTTCCTCGAGATCAAGACTAAACCTCTTACTGTGCAGCCCTCGACTTATTAGGATTCTTTCTTGTGTCAAGGTTTATCCAAACCTAAGAGAGATAGAGTCATGTTGTTAATATGTTACCTCGTCCTCAGAGGATTCTACCATCGGAGTCTCATCCTTATCAAAACACATGGATACTACAAAACAAATTAAGTTACAACTTCCAATCACGTTAGAACCCCTACGGGTTTCAACATTGTAATCCTGTTAGGAATGCACTACCTACCTCTATAAATACATCATTCCAAATCATTATCAAGATACGTTTTTACATAATTTTTCAGCATATATCTTTTCATAAATTCTCTCTCTGACTTAAGCGTCGGAATGACGATAATGACACACCTCAACGCCTTTGTTTCAGGTACCGAAAGACCTCATTTGTGCTCATTCTCAGTCGTCAAAATTGGAAGTCGACGTGTACAATTTTTGGTAGCATCAATGACCATTGTATTTAAATCCAATTAAGCCACGAAAAGTCAATTCCACGAGGATTCCTTTCTACCTCGAGTTAATTTAGTGGCCTTGAATTCAAAACCAACTATTTTGGCTTTATCTTCGCTCGTTTGACTAATACGTCTATACATACATGCAACCGAAAATAGAATCAAACATGACAATAAATTAATTTTTTTTTTTAATCCCATTTTGTATTGTATAATTTATCTTATCGGGCAATTTATAAATATTTTTTTTAAAAAAAAATCATGACTATATCTACGATATAACAAACACGACAACCTTTATAAAGATTCGATACTATATTATTCTATCACGTATTTCAAGATTTGTGTAAGTGTGATGGTGGATCATAACTTTAATAACGTCGTCAATTAGCGCCAAATAAAGTCCGTTAACTACCCAAAATCTTTCAATTAATGAGTCGTAACTTCAATAACGATATGATTAAATTTCAGAAAAGGATTAATCAACAACTTAATACCTTCCATGCTAAACTAAACTTTATATAGAAAGGTTTCTAGAAGCCCGTCACTAACTCCATATTGTATGACTCAATTTTGAACTAACTTTATTTCAGTAGTAAAAGTTGGCCAATTGGGTCCAAACCCCACAAAAAGGCAAAAAATAACAACTACAAAGTGTCAAGCAACATGACTCGTGACATCTCTCCAAATTTGTGGACCAAAGAGATGTGAAAATCAAAAGGGATAAATCTATTTGTACATCAAAAGATGTACATCAAGGTATCCACCTCTCTTACATGGGGTGGGACCCACTTGTATAAAATATTTTTTTATTTAAGTGGGTCCACCCCCTTTTAGGGAGGTGGATACCGTGATGTACCCGTAACAAAACTGATTTAAAAGCTTTAATGTGCCAATCCCTAATAACCTAAAATCCCCCCCACACACCCACACACACATTTTTTCAATTACAAATCAAGATTTTAGTCGAGGCATAGATTATTGATTGTCTTGATATTATGGGCCTGTTTGGTAATGATTCCCCCCCACACACCCACACACACATTTTTTCAATTACGAATCAGGATTTTAGTCGAGGCATAGATTATTGATTGTCTTGATATTATATCCACGGTGATGGTGTACCATTGTAGGAATACTCTTAAATAATTTGACTTCTACAATCTCAAGATATTTAGCCCATGTTTGGTAGATTAAAATCAGATTTTTAATCGATTTTGATAAAACGTATAGTCGAAAAGTTGTGGAACTCATGAAATGTGTGGTTAAAATCGATCGTTGAGTTTGATTTAGATTAAAATCTGAATTTTAATCAATTTCAAAGCCTTTTTTGGCAAAAAAATTCTTAAAAGAAATTTTGTGATTTTTTTTTTGAAAAATTCTGAATTATCGATCTTAGACAAGTTCATACATCAACGATGAAGTCATCAATCATGCGATCACTCTGTCGATTTTTTATTAAGATTCTTGGTTCGAATCCCGTCCTAACCTAATCTCTCCGTGGTCCTGTAATATACCAAGCTAACGTATGATCTAAAGTATGAAAATACATTCTAACTAAATAAGTACTTAAAATATTTTAATTTGGTGGCAATGGTTGGAGCAAAAGGCAAGTAAAAATGGCTTAAAAAGGGCAATCGATCATCCAAAGTAGAGGAGCTCACTGGTCCACTAAACCACTAATCTTCTAGAAGCAATACAAGGTGCCATGTCAGCACACAGTATCCACGCCCCTGTGGGCCCAGTTTCTCTCTCACGATTCCCCACCTCTAGCCTTTATATATTCACCCTCCCTCTCTGGTAAATAAAAAAATCCATTGCATTCACAAAATCTCTCTTCAATGCTAGGAACAGTGACTCTCGGCCACCGCAATATGTTTATTCGCTCGGCCGTAGCGGAGGCGCCGTCGGCGGCACTTATTGAGCGGAGGAGGAGTCTATACAAGGTTCTCAGAGTCAATCAGAAAGCTACCCAAATGGAGATCAAAGTGGCGTACCGGACGCTTGCCAAGTTGTTCCACCCGGATGTTGCCTCGCATTTAACTAAATCGTCATCGACGTCAACGGGAGACGACGACGGCATAGATTTCATCGAGATTCACAAAGCATACTCCATTCTGTCGGATCCCGACGCTAGGGCTGTGTATGATTCGGAGTTGTGTGTCGGGTCGCAACGGCGGAGGCCTTCTTGGAGTGGCTCCGGGGTCCGGAGTCAGGAACGGGTACGGTTTTACCAGTCCCGGAGGTGGGAAACGGATCAATGCTGGTGATGACAATGACGTGACAATTGGTTGTGAAAACTCGTGGAAATTCTACTCTCCGGTTATCTGCCTTTCGTGCTAGTGGAAATGAGTAAATTATCGAGGGAAAGCTTCATTGGATGAGATTCTTTTGATTTGCTTAGATTTCACTCATTCGTGTAATGGCCTGTTTCAATTGACTAGCTCGACAACTCCATCAACTCAATATTTGGTCGAGGCGGTCGGGTTTAGTACTCGACCAACTCGATCATTTAACATGTTTATTGAATTACTATGTTTTAGCTTGCCATTATTACAAACGAGCTAAGAGTAAATTGCTTTTCGTCTTAAAATATATGAGGAATTATCGAATTGTTCTTGTCATTCTTGAGTATCTTTTAATGGAAGGATCGACATTTTATTAATCAAAAATTTGTCACGAATCTTAATACCTTGTCAAACTATCTCATATGAAAATTTAAATGGTTAAAAAAATATATTTGATATTTAATTTAATTTTCAACAATAAAACAAAAATAATTTAAGATTTTATGTAATACTTCATCCATTTCATTTATATAGACTGATCTTCCTAATTTTCTTGTCACACATAAATAATCATATTTCTTTATTGATGAAGTCTTGTTTTGTTCGTTTACTAATATACCCTTATTTAATTTGCCTAGTTACAATTAACTCCAAAATTGAAAACTAAATTACAATTCAAAAGGTTGCTTCAATTTTTTGTCTTTGATCCTTGGAATTCCAACATGTGTAAAGTCTTGCAAGGGATTGAATATGACTGCTTAATGACAAATAATCACAATCTTGAATTTTCAGTTGATTATTTATTTGTATGAAAAGGACGTCTTTGGTAGAAAATAGGTTCCAGAAATATGTGTGTAGAATATTTAAAGGGTACAGTCAATTTACGCAACTCAAAATGCAAATAAATTTCTTTGCACCCTAAAGACCGAACTGGCTGCATAATATTTCTTCCATCAGATTGCACACAAAGCTTGAACTAAGATTAGAAAATCAAGCATTATTTTTCCTAATTTATCATTTTTTTATTAACTGTCATTTTTGCGTAAAATCTAATTTTTTAAATAATCCACGATTGCAGTAGTGATGCAGTTGAAATTTCATTAAATAGTAGTAAAAATAAATAAATAAAATCTTGTGCACCAGTAATATATCCAGTGGAGTGTGGCGAACGCGCACTGGTAAACCAATTTGGCAACAGAAAATTCGGCTGACGGCAGAAATGTGGAGGGGAAACAAAATAAACGACAGCAAAAAATACATTCGACGGAACAGAAATTTTCTGGTATTGAAATATAGAAAAGTATACAAACAAAATTGATATAAACAGTAACTGTCCAAACAGATCCCCCAATGAAATGCCTAAATATCGACTGCAAATTCTACATACATCAAAACACTTCGGGAAAGAAAGGAAGAGTAAGCTCCACAGTAAGCGTGCGGTACCCTTCTGATGAATATCCCTAGAATTTTTGTACAAACCTTCCAGTGTCAACATAACAAAAATAAAGGATAAAAGGGTATCATTTAGGGGTCATAAGAATGGAGTTGACGACATGCATGATCAGACGGATGATCGAAAGTTCAGGACCTGTAGTGGTCGGGAGGTTCCGATGATGATTCAATATTTGATAAACTTGCTCAATGATAGGTCGTGCATGCACAACAATCATCGGGTCAGTTGGATTTATGGCCAACAGTACCTCGCGCATCCAAGGTAGTTTCTTATGTGTTTCTTTGCTAATATCATAAGCCAACTGCTGCAAAAGAGAGATGAGTACTCCTTGGCTCAAAGGAAGGGGATTCGTTGATAAAATTCCCTGCAAGTCAACCTGGTACAAGGCAAAACACGCCCGGAAATATGTCAACTCAAGAATCATGCATCACATTCTGTGGTTGTCCATAGACACATTTAAGGCAACAATGAACAAGCAAATAGCATATGAAAGGCACGTGTTCCAAAGATAGAGGAAAGAAACGTGTCAACGCTTTCTTTGGGATCAGCGCTTCAGGTACAATCTATTTATTATAATTATAGTACACTACCATACCAAGTTTGGAAACCACCTATGGACACAAATTATTGACTTTCCACCTAAAAGAATCATAACAATAGTTGATTGTACTATGAATATTGTGTGACGAAAGGAAATTGATTCTATTTTTTCTTCCAAAAAGGCAAATAGGAAGGGAACTGACGGAACTACACTCTACTAGTGTCAAAATTCAAATGAAACTTATATAACCAAAATCCTTCTTGGTATCATGCTTCAGCCACATGCCCATTGGGTATAAAATAACCTACAGCAGACATTTCATTTTCTTAATATATAGCCACTGTTTGACAATCATTAGTTGGGGACAATAGAGTTTTGAATGGTGATTTTTAGGAGAATGTGGGGTTAAAAAGTAGGGAAAAATTTTGGGTTTACGTGCACCATATTTTATCATGTGAATGTGTGATTGAAAATAAGTATATAGAAAAAAGATTTTGAAAATAATGGTTGTCAAATAGGGGCATGGAAAAGAAAAGGTTCAGTTTGCCTGACCATCACGAACTCAAATTATTATCACCGGAATGCAAACCACAATGCATAAAAGCATATCCGAGGTGTGTAATTTAAAACATGTAGCATACCTGAGAACACAACCACGATACAATAGAAACATCGCTTCTTTGCAGGGCTGCAGTGAAAGCCTCCTCGTACTTGTGCTCAGCTACCAATCTTGATAACTCTTTCGTTGGATCAGGAGGTACCTCAAGCTATTACAACAGTAAAATTGATTCAAAGTGCTTAAAAAGACAGTTCTGAAAGCTGCAAAGAAAATCATTCTTCCAGCTCTAATTGATTTTTATAAAAATGCCTAATGAGTAAACAAGAACTGAGCAAACCTTCTCATGCAGACCCCCCAAAGGACCATTACTCAGTTGGCTAATCAATGGATTTGTTGCTTTTGAATTCGCTCCCGCAACAGCAAGAGCTAACAACTTTCTTTGACCATCGAGCAACTCGGTGCTTAGGGTTTGAGTCACCGAAGATGCTGAATTCATAGCATCCTAAAAGGTTTAGCTCATATTAGTGGAATGTCAAGGTAGTAAAGTATGAAGCAGCAGAAATTGGGAAAACTGACGTGACAAAAAATAAGTACATGTTCAACCATTATCTACTGTGTAAGTAGGTGATGAGTCTAAAATTAGTAAGACGGACAACAAGAATCAGACTCGTGATATCAATTTTTGTACCCTCAGAGCAAGTGCCATTGGTGAATATGAGGACTCAATTTGTTGCTGAGCTGCAGCTGTATGTTCGACCATTCCTTTCTGAAATGTGGCACCCAATTGCTCGAACATGGCCCTGCATGAGATCTCAAAGGCAGGGATCATGGAAGCTTCCAAACTGGACTTCAGAGTTTCCTGCATGACAAATTAAAAGAGTTGAGCCAAAATTCTTAAATTGGCAAGACAAACTAAGAGCGTGTTTGGGAAGTATTTAAAAGAGGTTTAATTATGTTAGATAAAACTGAGTGGTGGATAAGTGGGTATTCCATGCGGGTCCCTAGAAATATGAGGATAAAATGTAGCTTGAGTGTTTACAAACAATTTATAAACATGAACCAAACATAGGCTTATATATATCATGCTCAATTACCCTTCGTGTTTATAGATGGTGAGGGAGATGACGGGAAGAGAGTAGAGAATAGAGTTGTCAAGTTCTTGGGTCAAAATTGGTAGACCACCAAATAAATAGTATCATCATGATTGAAATGGTAAGGAATCAAGACAGGGCAACACTTCCAGGATTTCACCAATAGTTATAAGCAGAATTTAGGAAATTAAAATTAATAAGAGAAGGTTACATGAACCTCTTCTGCCAAGAGTCCAGGGATGATACAGAACTGGAAAATTTATTCTTTTTAATTCAAAGATGGGAGTTAAAATATACAAAGCATCATGCCCCAAAGTCGCACAGGGTTGGAGGAAAAAGGTCAATAAATAGCTAAACTGGAAACACAGCAAGCAATTCCAAGTCAAGAGGACAAGTTCCATGCTGGCAGATAGTGATTTGAAGTCTTTCTACAATTACGTGAAGAGCCAGTTTGACTGTCTTCCTGTCATTCTTACCTGAAGAGTTTGCTTGCCAGAAGTTTGAAATTGTGCTTGAATATGCCTAGCAACAGTAGCTTCAAGTTTAGAATTGACTGATTTCTCCAGCTGATTTACGACTTTATCACCTACTCCTTTCTGATCACAAAAAATCAGATGAGATCCAGATATTGGATACATTTTAAAAGGACAGGAAAATCCAAATGTTAACCTGGAAGGTCTCCAAAATTGAGGCAGATACTATTTTCTCAATAGAGGGAGTAATTGTGCGTGCCACAGCTTGTCCGACTGCATTTAATTCTTTCTTAACAGCTTTCTCCAAAATAGCAGGCAAGTCATTGTTTAAGCAATTGCTGATCATATTAGATAGTTGCTGGGTACGCTCCCATGATGCCTTTTCCAGTTTTGCATTCTCCTCCTGAAAATGAGCCCACAAAGCATCCGCATTAGCCTTGACAGCTTTCTCCATAATCCGTCCCAAGGATGCTTCAAGTCTTCTGCCTTCTTTGGTAACACGGACAGCAACCATCATGGCCACCTGCTTCTGCATATCTTTTTGCATGGCTACAACCTGCAGGTAAAAACATGTGGTGAGGGATGTGCAAGTCAATATGCCTGCAGATGGTATAATATACTCTTGGATGCCAGTAGTCATTGACCTATCTTGGATCAACAGAATAATATGAAAAGGTACTGGTATGCAAGAGCGAAAAATTGATTTGACAAGCAAAAAGTTACCCAGTTACCTAAACACAAGTGAATATAACATATTTGGAATGCCTAACACGAAGTACGATATCTACACCTAGCATTGAGCTTTACGATTTCAATATGTTATTGGCAATAACATAATAATCTGGGGAGGGGGAGGGGGGGGAGA